TAAAAAGTTAAGCTTAAGATAATATCAAGAAAGTGTAATGGCTAGAAAACAACTTACAAGGCAAAAACAGCATTCTCTATAAATTTTTCCTAAACCTATAAGTTAAGATCAGATCACACTAATTCTGAAATTCTACAGACAGTACCAAGTTTGTTTATCAGTATGCAACAATTAAATGAGTTAGACAATGTTGATATCAATGGTATATATTCTTTACAGATAATCTTCACTTATATTTTCTGTCCATGCATATAAACTCATTAACCAAGGGAGCTGTCTCTACTAGAATCAAACAGTAAGAAAGCAAACCTTGTTCGGATGGACATCATCGAAGACGTGAGCTTGACCGCCATAGAATATGGTCATCTGCCGACCAGCAGATGTATATCCATGTCGACTGCCATGACAACAGAAAAAAGATATGGCATCAAATGTCCTTTTACTTCAATGAAAGCAAACAAATGCAACAGAGCAGAATGTCCTCTATATTGTATAATTAGGTTTACCTAGGAGTAGAAGGTTCTGGCTCTAAAATATTAGTCCCAGATTTCTGCCTGCTGCCACTAGGCAGCACCCCAGAAGAGTTTCTTTCAGGAGCACTACTGCTGGCATTAATGGAACTCAAAATTCCCGGGCCTTTGATTCCAGTTCTAGATCCCTCATCAGCAGCTGATTGAGAGATATTAGCTGGATTGGCATTGGCATCCCTAAATCTGTTTGAAGGTAATTGATGCACAAAGGGTACGAAATGACCTCCTCGTGGAGGGTACTGTACTGCAGCACCCAGATTCATGGGAGTAGATCTGTCCCATTTGGAAATATTGGTATCAACTCTACCACCAAGTGGAGGCTGAAAAATGTGTGAGGCAGAAGTTGGCCTCAGTGGCTGTGTAGCAAAGACTGCTTCATCATCATTGGACCTTCTAGGTCGCTCTCCCCCTGGTCCATTTCGAAGCATCTGAATTTCAGGATAACTAAAAAGCATCAGATGAAGAAACCATAGACGGGGCTTTTTCCCATATGCAAGAATAGAATAAGAATATTGCATGATGTCAATCTCATACCTTCATCAAATGCGAGCTCTCAAGGGAGTCAGGACCGGTATGAGGGACCCCATCTCTGGATGAGCACTTAAAAGTGGAGTCTGAATTACTCCTCTTACTTCCTAGTAACCTGTTACTTATCTCAGGCCCAGAAATATCACTCCTCGGACCATAGAATGGAACACCCTCAAGATGATTTCCAGCTTGTCTTTCTACAAAATTTAATGGCACAAGACAATGAATCAAACTCAAATGTAAATATACAGAATCCTAAATCAGAAGGGATAAGTACTTCAGGTGTCGAAATTTCAGTAATACAATCGTAACAGATAAGTTTCAAGATTGGTAGTAAATGTTCATACACGGGCAAAAAAGGCTAACAATATAACAGAAACATGTCATGAAAAAAAAAATTGTTCATCAGAATGAGGTGCTTACACTTAATTAAGTCTCACTTTATTTGTAATGATAAATTTTTGACAAGCACTCTCAACTTTCTTCATTGCCCAATTGGTAACATAAAAAACAAAAACAAAAACCCACCACATTGCAAAATGACAATACATGGATAAAAACATTTAAGCATCATTTTTCGCAAAACTAATTCCAAATGCTCCGGCAATATGCTTACAAAAGATAAAGAGAGCCCAAAAGGGAAGAGGAAAAGTAAGTGAACAGCTTGCCCTTGATTCAACCTATCCTTAAAAAGAAGGCTTAACAAATCAAAAGCATACAACAGCAACCAAACTCCTTACTGACTTCACTAACTAATCCATGTTAGAAACCAACCCCTATCTTTCTTATTTTGCATGTCCACACTCATTACTCACTCACACGAGAAAGTTCCTAACCCCCCATGAATATATCAAAGCCATCCGAAACAAAAGAGCCCCCTCCCTCCCCTCCTCCAAAAATAAAAATTAGTGAAGGTAAAAACTTATTTAGCTGATTAAATAAACATATAAAAGCAACTATATTTAAGGAAAACAAAATGAGATAAGGTCTGGGTTTTTTTTCTTTTACATATATGAACAAAAATAAAATCACAGGGGGGAAAAAGAAACAGTTTTTTAACAAAATGGGGAGTGACTGACCAGAACCCAGATCAGAGGTGGTAGAGATGGGCCCACGGCCACAACCCGAAGAAGCCCCAAGTGAAGCAGAAGCTGAGGGTGAGACCTCAGAGAGCCTACAATCAGAGGCTTTGGGGGCCAAAACGACAGGGGAATCACCAGGCTTCATGCCCAGAAAGTCATGAAAGATGGGCTTCAATAGCTGCTCTTCTTGCTTCTGTTTCTGCTGCTGGCTACTGTTGTTAGTAGTGGCATTGTTGGGCACGCCTTGCTGAGCCATTATCAGTACAGCCATTTCATCCCCATAGCCATACCACTCTGCAAAGCTTATTTGCTAGCTGGAGACAGAGTGTGATTGTGTTTGTGTAAAGAGCATAAAAAGAGAGCACGATTTTCAGAAAAGAGAAAAGAAAATGAAAAAGAAAAAGAGAGAATCAGGGGTCTTTATGAGCAGAGACCGAGGGAGGGAGAGAGAGAGAGCATTAAAAAGAAAAAGGTTCTTGCGCAAGTGTTTGTGACTTGTGCTTGGGCTTTTCTGAGTTTTTCCTCTCTCTTCTCTCTGTTTGCTTAAAAATGCTGTGTCTCTGAGTGTGGGGGTTGGGTTGTTTGGTTGTGTGAGAATATATGTTGGGGTTGGGAGGTGTGTGTTTGTGTGTTTCTTTCTGGCAATTATTTTTGTTGTTTTTGCATTGGGAGAGCAAAAGAAAGAAGCAATGGGGAGAAAGATAGCGTACGAAGAGGGGTTTTGTGTCTCTGTGTTTATGCACTAACGTGGCTCACTGCCAGTGCCTGCTTTTTCATAGGGTTAAAAAAATCCTTTTTCCTTGCTATTTTTCTTAATAAAAAATCCCTTTGTGTGTTTTTTTTCTTCATAATTATGTTATCGGATATCTTCTTTCTTTATTAAAAAATAATCTAAAAAACAAGCCTGTCTTTTTTTTTTTCCTTTTTTTTTCTTTTCATGTGTTTATAAATTTGAAAGCTAGATGCATGTTATCCATATCTAAAAGAATGAGTATCAAATCAGTTATAATTATCGATGGTTAAATTTTGATTCGAATCTAATTTGAGTCCGATGCAATTAATAGGATGTAGAGTGAGATTTTTCATATGATAATTTGAATTGTTACTCACTAACTTAGTATTTACCATTAAAAATTGTACCAATAAGGAATTGAGATGTATGAGTTTTCCTTGTGATAGTCTAAGACATGTTAAGGATTAGAATGTATTTAGAATTTCTTCGGTTCAAACCTTGTCTATTTTTTTTGTTCTTACTTTGCATACAAAACCTTTGCACCCATAAAAATGGGTTCATCATGTATATATCATTCACATCCATCTTGTGCATATATTAAGCATAAAAGTGAAAATCATATGATAAAAGCACTCATATAAGTCATGTTATAGACAAGAGATTTCAATGGAAAAAAAATGTTATGCAATGTGGCGTTACTACTATGAAGTGTAATATGTGCTCACTTTGTTGCCTACAATACACTTGATTTTAATTTCGATTTCGATTATTATTATTATTATTAAAAAAAGAGAAAAATGAGTGAAGAGTGGGAATTGATGTGGTGGAAGCTAAAAACCGACGAGTGGGGGAAGAATATTGAAGCACAGATTCTCTCTCTCTCTCTCTCTCAACTTCTTAACTTCTCAAGTACTTTTGTTGACTGCAAACCACCACCAAAGCCCGATGCCGTCGTTTTCCGACTTGGGGCATCGTGCGAAGACCTCCACCCCCAACCCAACCCTACCTCGTTTGCCCAACTCAACTCACTCTCACTCAAACATTCATCATTGAATTGAAATTAACCATAATTATAATAAATAAACACCTTTTTTTTTCCTTATCAAACTCTCTCTCTCTCTGAGTTCTTTGTGGCAAGTGCTAGCTAGTTGTTGTGCCCAGTAAGCGAAATAAACTTACATATAACGGAGAACGAGGATAACACTGTTTTGTTATTCGGCTAATAATACAATGATACGTGAAAAAGTTATTCTATGTTTCATTGCGTTATTGACTGAGATAGCAAAAAGTGTTATCCATGTTGCATGAGAGTTTTTCTACCTAATAAGGCTCCTGTAAGTAATAATTCCTCTTTTTTCGACTATACTTGTCTTGGATGCAGTGGTGGTGAGTTGACACAAAGATTCCCACACATCTCCTTGCCTTCCATCCTAGACAGAGATTTTCACAAGCTAAGCACAGAAATATAACTGTGCTTCTACATTGACATATGTAATTTCTTTTACTAGTAGGAGGGAATGACATCTTCAAGAGAGCCGTTATCGACATTCTAAGGTCCAGTTTGATTCACGGAACTTATTTAAAGAGAAATCAATTCTCATGTCATTTTTCAAAGGATGAGAAATGAAATATTCTTTTTCCACGTTTGGTAATGCCAGGAACGTAACCAGAAGATATCACTTTATTTCATTTCCCATGTTTATTTTGAGTAGGAATGGAAAACAAAGTTTGTTTAATTTTCCAATTATACTCATGTTAAATCAAATAAAAAAAGAATGCATTTAATGATATATTGTAATTCTAAATTGTTAACGGGAACAAAATGATCAAAAAAAATATGCACTTAATGTTGGCTCATTTTCCCAAACTTTCAAATGATGGGGGAAAACAAAACCTAAGTTGAGAAGAGGGCCTCACTTTTCCCTCTACTTTCTCATGTGTCAGGTAACCATTTTCTATGTTTGAACTTATTAAATATGAAAAAACAATTGATTTCTCATTCCTAAACATCCTTTCCTATGAACCGAATGAGGCCTAAAATAGTGTTTGTAGCTCAAGCGATTATACCTTCTCATTTTATTTTACTCGACAAGTATAGATCTTGGGATTTTCTCAAATCCCTTGACAATCCAAATGAAATCTCTTTTAGGCTTTTGTCTGTCAATTGGCCCTCTGGCATCACATATATCCAGTTGTCCATACAAGTCTCATCATGCGTGATTGACTAGCACAATCGAAAATAAGTGCAAAAATACTGTGAAGCTCATTCCAACTTGACGGAAACTTCCGTGGGGATTGGACTATATCTCTAACATGTCCATTGTCCTCCATCCCTCTAAAGACCAAAACTTAAATACTAAAAAAAGCTTTGACCAAGGGTAAAAATATATGATAAAAAAGCTGCTAGTAATACAACACTCCCACACAAAAATAGAACGGCTGGTAGCTACGTTTTGATGGTTCTTTCTCTTTTGCATCTTTTGCACTTGCGATCAAAAAAATATGCGAAGACTTCTCTTCAACCCATGTTATTATGTTAATGTGTGTATTTGCAGACCTTCGACAAATTCCAAATGCACAAGTCCACATGCAAAGACAGGGCATCCAGCGAGCCTGATTCAAAGACAACCAAAAAAAGACCTCAGAAGAAGTAATATCATAATGTTATATGTCATGTGTCCCAATGCTTCGAGTTAAGTTAAAACACTGCAAGTTGAAAATAACATATTTAATATTGTGTCAACAATAACATATTTCTTGATCAAGGGTCAGCAGCATAAGAAACTAAACCAATTTGACTTGAATGCGGCAAATCAAATTAACGGATTGTTTTTTAAAACAGGAAGCTTCATGTGCTCTTGATTAAAAGGTCAATAGTTGGAAATTGTACATACCATGCGTTCCTGTTTCAATGGTCCACTGCCGTCTATTTACAAAGGACACTGACTTCACCATCCTTCAGGGCCCCAAAGACTTCAAAGTCCAGACGCGCATCCAGTTATGTCTCATAGTCTCTTTCATAGTCTCTCTTTACTTGTACCACCACAATGCAGTTTGTATGTGCAATGAACCTGCATCCAAACCACTTGACTGCATAATAGACGTCCATCAGGATTCAGAATGCTGCACAGCTACAATATTGCAAAAAGTTTCTAACGTTACAAGTAGTTTGAATCCATATAAAGGAAGTCCTCCAAAAGTAGTTATCTCATATAAATATCAAACTTTTACCAAAATGCACATGAATTTAAAGAGTCTTTATTTATTCTGCTGGAAAACTTACTCTGTATCCTGCAGTAAACTCCTGTTTACCTACCTTTCAGAGAATGCCAACTGAATCCAAAACTAATGCCTGTTACCCAAGCAAAGCAAAAATATATATCATTGGATGTTAGCTTTTCTCTTAATATCCTCTACCAACTGGTTTGCTCTTGATACAACATTCTCAGGCGAACTTCTATACTTGACAAGTTCTCTTGGATCTGAACAAGTTTTCAACAAATCAGACATTGCTTCAGCCTTCAGGATTATAGATTTTCTCCTTGCATGAGATGCATCTCTTTCTCTGACATATGTGTTTGGCAAATTTGTTGAATGAGGAACGGAAGACATCATGTTGCACAGCTTATGCGCCATCTCAGTCATTCCTTGTTTCCTTAACTCGTCATTCATTCTCTGAAAAGTAAGATACTGAGGAACTAAACCCCTCCGTATCATGTCCTCAAACTCTGCAAAAGCCTCTTTGAATTTATGCATATTGCAAAGCAAATGAATCAACATGGTGCTTGTAGCTAAATCCATATCCAATCCCCTAGATCTCATTTCCTTGCTTACTTGAACTGCCAAATCCAATCTCCCCTCGTCACACAACATCTTCAACAAAAGATGGAAAGTAAGCCGATCCGGGGTATACCCAGATTCAATCATTTTGGTATAAAGGTTCATTCCCTCCTCAATTTTCCCGAACTTTGAAAAGTACCTAAAGAAATAGTTATAGGTTGTTGGAGTAGGGACACAACCCCTACTTATCATCATCTTAAGGATCTTACTAGCCCCTACAAGATCTCCAGCCTTGCAAAAGCCCTTTACCAGTGAATTGTATGTTGAAATAGTAGGGCCTGATTCGAGGATCAAAAAGTGCTCCATCATCCCCAATGCCTCCTTGAACTTCCCAGCTTCCCCCAATGCATCAATTATTGGATTATACACAATTGCATTGGGCTCAATTCCTTCACTCCTCATCTCACTCACCAATTCAATTGCAGTTTCAGCACGACGCATCCGACAATATCCTTCAACCAGTGTACCATATGTTACAACACTAGGTTTCACATTATCCCTCTTCATCTCCACCCAAAGCCGCTCTGCCCATTTCAGCTTCCTTGATCGAAACCATCCATTCAACAGTATATTATAAACCCGAACTGATGGAATCCAATCTGGATGCAACTTTCTTTTCATATCAAAGTACTCTGAAGCCACCCTAACAAGGCCTTCCTTACAAAAGGAATCCAACAAAACTTCAAACAAACTCATTTCTGACTCTGAATTAAGAAATAAGTCTAAATTACTTGCAAATTCAAAAGTCCGGATTGCCGATTGGGACATACCTGCATAAAATGTACCACCACCGGAAAGGATGATGGATTTAAAAGTAGTGAATCAATACCAAAAACAGGTCTAACACAAACGCATATGCAAGCCTCCTAATCCATAAAACCCAAATATAATTTCAGAATACAAGCAACTTTAGGCAACCCCAACTAAGTTGTACACGCAAGCTCAGAACTTTTCTTCAAATTGTGCAGGGCCAAAGTTATGCAGAGATTACCAACGTGTAAACTCGCAACTCTAACTAACCATTTATCAAATTCAATCGATTTGAGAACCATAAACTAGGCCTACACTACATGTATCAAAAATCCAAGATGCCCAATTGAACTTGAAAACTCAAAAATTAAACTAAAAATTAAAATTGTATCTTCAATTAAGTACATTATTACAATCAAATAGCAATATACCTGCGCGGGAATACCGTCTGATCATGATCACAAACGTATCTACAGAAACCAAACCAGGCTCCTCATCTGCACCGATCCGATTAAGAATCAGAGACCACGCCGACTCGAACTCCCTCGACTTAGCAAGCACATTGATCATGCAGCCGAAGAGAGTCGCAGAGGATCGAAACCCCGGCCGCTTTTGTGCCCAAAGAAACAGCGTGTGAAGCAATTTGGGAGACGAATCGAAGTGGTCGAACACAGCCTGTAACAGACACGGACCCGGCTCGATTCCGGTCCGGTCCAATGCGCTCTGGAGCGATGAACCGGGGGAAATGCTAGGGTCGGCGAGCAGGTTAGCAATGGTAAAGAAGTCATTTTGTGAAAAATTGGGGCCGGAGATATTAGGGTTAGGGTTTGGGGCGGGGTTTGGGTGCGGGAGAGAGCAGGGTACGTCGGGCGGCGAGGGCCACTTGATGATGGGGTTGCCTCGTACGGACAGCCATGACTGGTCGGAGAAGAATCGCAAAGAGAGAGCACGAAGGTTAGGGTTAGGGTTTGGTTTGAAGAGGAGGAGCGCCAGAGACAGAAAATGGAGGGTTTTGTGAGAGGGCATAACGACCAGTGGGCTCCGAGGCTGAGAGACTCACTGTCACTGAGCTCCAAACTTGTTAGTTTCAGTACAGTTAAAATTACCACTATACCCCTCTCTCAACTTCGTTTTTCCTATTTTTGCCTATTTAAAACGAAACGAAATGGAGTGTGTGTGAGTGAGAGAAGCACACACCAAATCCAACATGGCTTGCATGCAATTCACAAACGCCGTGTCGTTCCGGCCAGAGCAACTCTCCGGCGCCGGGACCCGAGATTACCAAAATCTCCCCAGAAGGAAGTCCGTTTCGGTCTCTTTCGCCGGTATTTCGGCAGAAATGTCTCCAGCTCAGCCCGGAAAGCCCGAAATCGAGCTCGAATTCATAGGGGTATGCAGTTTTATTTATTTATTTATTTTAGTGTAAAATTATGTAATTACTAGATATTTGTCTGAAGTTTTGTGATTGGTTTGGTGGTTGGGTTAGCCGAAGCCCGGGAACGACGGGTCGTATCCGGTGGAGAGCGCGAAGGCGATTAGTGGAGAGAAGTTGCTGAGGGATGTCATGTCGGATAACAAGATCGAGCTCTACGCCACGTATGTGAGTGCTCTCTCACTCTTCCATGCTAACTAACTACCTCACATTGCATCCCGCGTAATTTAGTTATTTCCTGCCACAGCTTCTAACGTGCGCCGTCTCTGTAAATTGTAATTGGGCATCACAGCCCAATAACTATGGGGCCTATTGCAGCAATGCACATTCAAACCCAAAATTAAAATAAACAAATAAATCACACCGTTATAATAGAAGATGTGAGTTAGACTAGTTGATTAAGGCAATGTGTCGTTCCTCTTGCACTCGAATTCGATTCCCTTCCCTGTATACAATGTGTGAACCGAACTACTCTTACATGACACACCTTATGGGGCTGAGGTCTAGCATAATTACATAGAATTTCAGAATAATAAGCAAATATGTGAAATACAAGTGATTGAAAAAGGTGTTGCAATTTTAATTGTAGGGGAAACTGATGAACTGTGGAGGTGGAGGAAGCTGTGGGACTTGTATAGTAGAGGTATGAATATTCTCAACATTCATATTATATTGTGTCTTCCCTAGTTTCTTGAGTTGAAACTTGTGGAAGATGGAAGGCCTCAGCTAATTTCCTTGTTTTTGTGTGTGTGTGCGCGTGTGTGCAGATTATTGATGGGAAGGACCTTTTGAATGAAAGAACAAATACTGAACTCAAGTATTTGAAGAAGGCAAGCTCTCTCTCTCTCTCTCTCTCTCTCTCTCTCTCTCCTTGAAAAACACTACACTATCTTGATAAACCAATCTCCTTTTTTTTTTCTTCTTCTTCTGTAAATGTGGGTCTCAAAAACCCTTGTTAATTTCTCATTTGAAGTAAATTTCTAATTTATTTTATTTTATTATTTATTTTTACATTGGGTAAAACAACATACAGAAACCCGAATCTTGGAGACTTGCTTGTCAAACTATAGTTGGAAATAAGGAAAATTCTGGGAAGGTACTTCTCACCACTCTCCTTTTATTTTTTATTCGTACGTGCAAAGTATTTTCAAAATATTTTTTTTTTTAATCTTGATTTGACTTCAAAACAAGAAGGAAAAATCCTATGCTATTTAAACCCAGACATTCAGAATGGATTACTTATGTTATGCAAATATTGTTCTGATTGTTGTGGGTTGCAGGTTGTGGTTCAGAGGATCCCCCAGTGGAAAAAGTAAGAGACCAGATTGTGAATTATGATCCACATTTGTCATATCAGATTGTATCGAGGCTTATTTAGATGAGACGACTGTCCAAAATTCCAGTTTTTATGTTGGGCTGTGTGTAGAATTTTGTACAAACAAGCAACTATTACGACACGATATAACAAACTAATAATATGATGACACGTAAACATTGTTGCGAAGTTTAATTCAAGTGTCATTTGTCTCGTCATATTGGTTATTGGTTACATGTCATCTCTTGATTTATTGTACTACATTAGCGTAAGTATGGCTGTAGCGAGTCATCTCCAAGAATTTATGTCATCTCCAACATTGTTGCGAAGAATTTATACGAATCATAGTTGGTCTAATTTCAAGGTAACTTATGTTACATTCCCAAGTTTTCTTGTTTTCCCCTGCTTCCCCTACCAACTTTTTTATATAGTATAATAAATCGAATTAAATATTTGCAAAAATATTCATTTTTAATAAGTTTAATTATTTACTTGCAATATATTTAAATATATATTGTTTTTCTTTTGCCAAAGGGCATATAATGGGTTTCGACCAAAAAAAAGAGGGCATATAATGTGCATTTTGGTGTTTTCACAAAATATACGAGGACAATTTGGGTAAAAAAAGCTCATTCCTGTTCATCCTTGCCTAATCCCACCTACCTCTCAAGAATTCAATTCCCCCTATATCAGGAATCAAAGTCATAATTTTACCGGGACCATGGTTGCTTTTCATTCCCGTTGTGCAAGTAAACATGTTATTAGCCTTAAGTCAAGCGATACGGAGAGAAGCTTATGTGAGGTTGTTCATACCGCTTGGTATTGCAACGTGTCAGAAACAATCCAAAGGTTTTCTCAAGGTAGAAAAGGTGATAAGGGAGGAGCGGAGCAGAATTGGCCATCTTTTATTTACACTTTTTGGAAGAGCCTGCCTAAACCCAAACTCTCTCTTATAATTACAACCTTTTGAATTTAAAGTCAATATTTTTTATGATTATTATTCATTCATCATTCGTTTCAAATAAATTAAAACTTTATATATATTTTTTCGTCTGGAAATTAAAACTTTATTTCAAGTGCCTTTTTCCAATATAGATTTGTCGGGACCTCATCAAACACACACACTTTACCTCCCGCTGAGGGCTTTCACTGTGTGAAAAGGGGTTGGGCCCACCTCGTAGGAGTGCGTAGAGAGGGCCACAATGGACCACTTCGGCTTTTGGATCTGCAAAGTTTTTAAATGGGCTTCAGGAATCAGGATAACCATTCTTTCTTTTTTCCAATAAATAAATAACTTCCACCAGATATTTGCCTGTTAATTTCAGACTTTCCATATATAATTCTTACCACAAAAAATAATAATAATTTCCATATATGACTAGAATTATTATATTTTTTTATTTGGAAACTTTTCATTAGATTTGGGGGATTTTTCATTAGATTTGGGGAATTTTTCACTAGATTTGGTGAATTTTTCACCAGATTTGGGAAATTTTTTACTAGATTTTAGAAAATAAAAATCTATATATTTTTTTTCATTTACCATATATTGAGTGACTCGATCCAAAATCTAAGGGCTTCGTTGGATGACATTTCTATGATTACAAAAGTGATAATGAATTTTGTGGTTTTTAAAGAAAATGCAAAAAAAAATATGAATTTTTTTTCTTCAATATCTCTAATTACTCTCATGTTTTCTCCCTTTTATAATTTTAAAAACATAAATATTTAACATTCCTTTTTTTTTAAATCGTTATGGATAAAATAAATAATGGACAAAAACAGCAAGTTTGTCATAAATTATAAGACAACCCAAGTCCTTTCCATTTATGCTGAAACCATTTGAACCTGACCACCACACATGGGGGGGGGGCTAACTGGATCAGTCTTAAAAATACATTTCCAATCAAAGATTATTGATTTGTCAACGTTGAAGAAAACCCAACTGGAAATTCAGTCGAGTTTGCCCAAATTGCTCTGAAATCATTTGTTTCAAAATGTTGAGATTCATATGAAGTCCATTTTGACTTTTTGTCAATTCCCTCTCTCATGGGGGATAGGGAGAACAAAATTTGAATCACTAAAACACCATAATTTACTCAATCGAAACCAACCATATTTCGAACTTTTTTAATTTTATAAATAGAAATAAAGGTATAATTGTCCACTAGTTAAGTGTATGTGTACATCGTGTGGTCATCGATGATCATAAAAATGCATAATTCTTAATAATTCGACTCAAAATCCAAAGGCTGATATTCATTACTACAAAAATATCGAGACCCTAATTTTTTGAACGGGAAACAGAAAATTTGAACTCGAGACATTTTCTGCATTGGAGAGAGAAATTAATCCAAATTTTGAATTGCAACAAATGGATGTGTCATTAAAAACTGCCCAAATAAAGTACGCATATTAGGGCTACCTATGCCTCATTCAAAAGTCCGACTTTGGGAGTTGGGACGGCGGCCTTTGCCCCTATATTGGCATCTAGCCTACTATAGCATAGGTGATAGGGACCTTTCAAAATTTTCATGTAGGACACAATTTTAGAGGTCAGCGTGCCCTTGCTTGTAGTAGGGTCAATGATATATTAATGAGAAAATAAATCCATATTATTTTCTAAACACTTATTCAAATGGGTTGTTACAGCTCAACCCATTTCACATCATATTTAATACTCCGGATATTTATATTACAAATTGATTCAAAAAGAACAATTAAAAAAAGACAAAAGTTTAATAAAAAAAGACTGCAAACACTCTCATATTCTTCAAATTTTATTTCAGACCAAAAAAAAAAAAAAAAAATCTTCAAATTTTATTACATCAATTATTTATACTTGCTATATTTCTCTTCACTTATATTTCTCTTCACCTGACTTGACATGTGAAGAGAAAAAGAAATAAGTATGAACCCGTGACACGCAAGTTTTCATATATATATATATATATATATGCCATTTAAGCGTCTTTGTTAATACAACTCCTCTATGTCTGAATCGATAATTAATATATTCACAATATAGGAACATAACATAACAAGGTAGATATTTGAAGAGAAAAAAAAAAACATTCATAACCCATCAAAAGACAATCTCAGTTCTCACCTCATGTGTTAAAAAGTGAAATAAAATAATACAAAACACTCGGCGGAAATAAGTCAAAACAACAACAACAAAAAAAATAATATATTTTTTGCTTTTTGGCTTCCATTTGGAATTTTGGAAGTTCAAACTGTAAATCCCGTCCCGCTCACGCTCCTCTCTCTCTCTCGCTCCCCCCCCCCCAACTTATATCAA